TCCTAACAACCACTAGTGTCCGAAAGAGGACTCGGAAGCTAGCTGAACACATCATCGTGACAGGCACGATTTAGGGACGAAGAGGTATAAGACTGCCTTCCCGGGAAACTTAGACTTAGCAAGAATTAGTCTCTGTATAAACAATACTATACGTTTCTCCCCCCCACTGTTCAACTCGCCTGACCAATAGGACTAGCCTGACAATTAGTATTTCTTTACATAAAACATTCCTAGTAGGTTAGTGAGGCCGTAGGAGGCACCAATCGACGTGTTCGTAACTTGATTAGGTTCCGGTACATCAACACGCTTACGCGCACGGATGAAGACCTGGGAGGGTTCCCTGGTCCATTCGAGGATCTTCCTGACTGGAGCGACGCGGTGGACGGAAAGAGCTATGTACGGCTCGTTGCTGTTAAATATGCGGATCATAATGCGACAGAGCTTCGAAGGACATTTCGGGCGAGAGGTGCTCTTCCACGATGGCGATATCGGCGAAGGCTGGCCCCCGAAGGAGGACAACAACTAGATATGCGGTTACATAGAACATAGTAGATCATAGAACGCAGCCAACCAGGACATATTCATTTGTTGAATAAGCGCCTTGGAATGATAGTTATGTTTTTATTTGAGTGTCTAAGCTTGCCGAGACACTACTTTCTCTTAGCAATAGCAGCTGCCTTGTGCGGCATTCTGGAACCGCCCCCTACCTGCTGCCTCCGGCGTAGCTCGCTTCTCGATCTGCACGCACGCAGGAGCCGTTCACATCGGCTTGCCTCTATCATTCCTTCCAGTTTTCTCAAGTCCTTGGTCCTTGTAGGCTATCACTCTGGGACTTTTCTCGTTGAAGCAGGTCCCGGTGAATTTCCCCTTTTGTGCATGTGATGACGGAGAAACCAATTTCCTGTACCGAAATTGAATGCTTCGGGGTTGCTTATGCCGATATCCCCGACTGCAGGCCCCCTTATTGCGGGGGGACAGCTTAGGCTTCTGGAGTCATTGCAAGTGTTGCGGATCATGGGCCAATGTGACCCGACGTCACTTTCCTCGGTGAAATTGATTTGGCCTTACCACCAATCATTTTCAGTCGGAAAATACCATAATGAGAGTTACTTAGAAGATGACAGGGTATTTTATGCCGAGGTGCTATGTCCTCTCATGGTTGTCAACCCGCCAAGAGTAGCGCTAGCAGGCTCATAGCTCTAGCAGATTGCGTCAGAATGGATTTAAGAGGGGTCGTCCGCCTTTGAAAAGCTAAGAACACACGAGTGTCTCAATCTCTACCATGTTGAAACTTGGCGTTGGCTTTCTGGTTCTTGTTGGACATCTGAGCCATCACGCCATGGCGTCCAACTGCACCTCATCTTCCGCAACAGTTCACTGGCTCGGTGACAAACCGACGTACCATGCTGGTGTGACTTTCGGTCTGCCATGGCCGCAAGGCAAATATCGACCCCAAGAGACTAGCTTCAGTCTGACTGGCGATACTGAAGACAAACCAGAACTGCAATCTTGGGCAACTGGCTACTGGGCCGACGGTTCCCTCAAATGGACAGGGCATGCCATTGCCGAATCAAATCAAATTTATGACCAATACACCGTTACTGCATCGTCCCTGGGCTGCGTCAGCAACTCGTCTTCGTCATCAGAATCCAGTGCAAAAAATAGCTCTATCGTTGTAACAGACAGTTCCGACGCGCTTACTGTCAACACGGGCGAAATCGCCGTCTCATTTCCTAAGGGAGGGAACATCATTATTGGTGATATCAAGACAAAGGGCGGCAGTATTATCGGTGCAAACGGAAGACTTGTCCTCCAAACTCAGGACTCGGTGCCGGATAATTTTGACAACCGAGCAAATTCCTCCATCCAATATTCCAACTTTGACGGCAATATCAACGAGGTATTGGTAAATCGGACATCGGTTCGCACGCTCGTCACTATTCGTGGAAATCATACGGTCACCGATGGTGCCGATCACGATCCGTGGCTGCCATTCGTTGTCAGATTCTATCTTTATGCCAACTCTGCCACTATCAAAGTGGTGCATAGTATCGTCTTCGATGGAGGTGAGAAGGATTTCATCACTGGGCTCGGTATTCGGTTCGATGTTCCATTGAAAGGCGAGGAGTACTACGACCGACACATCAGGATCGCTGGCGTGGATGGCGGCATCTTCAATGAGGCAGTTCAGGGAATAACTGGACTGCGGAGAGACCCCGGCGAAGAAGTCAGAGCTGCGCAATTTGCGGGGCAGAAACTGGCAGACACAGAGTCTTGGGACACCCGGGTCACCACTCGGCTGAAATGGATTCCAACGTGGGCAGACTACAGTCTTACTCAGCTCACACCTGACGGTTTCGGCCTCAAAAAGAGGATCAAGCCTGGCCAGTCATGGGTCAAAATTCCCAGCGGAACCCGTGCTGAAGGCCTGGCTTATCTAGGAGGTGCTACGCAAGGAGGTCTCGCCGTCGGTCTACGGGATTTCTGGAAGCGGTACCCGGTTGGGCTTGATATTTCCAATGCGGCCTCCGATAAAGGTGAACTCACTTTGTGGTTATATAGCCCCGCTGCTGACCCGTTGGACCTGCGACCCTTCCACGATGGCTTAGGCCAGGATGGATATGAAGATCAATTGGACGCTCTCGAGATTACCTACGAGGACTGGGAACCCGGATTTGATACACCATATGGAATTGCTCGAACTAGTGAAGTATACTTGTTCGCGTTTGACCAAACGCCAACAAGTGACAAACTCGCATCGCTCACTGCGTACATGAATGATCCCCCAATGTTGGTCGCAGAGCCGAAATATATCCATGAAACGCAAGCCCTCGGAGAATACTGGGCCTTGCCAGGAATTGCCAGTCCCGCTGCAGCCACTCTGGAAGATCGGCTTCATTTCATTTTCGACTTCTACAAAGGCCAAATTGAGCAGCGTCGCTGGTACGGCTTCTTGGACTACGGTGATTTCATGCACACATATGACCCCGACCGACACACCTGGCGATACGACGTCGGTGGTTATGCCTGGGACAACTCGGAGCTGTCACCAGATCTCTTCTTCTGGCTTTACTTCCTCCGCACTGGCAGCAAAGATGCGTACCGGTTTGCCGAGGCCCTGACAAGGCACACGGGTGAAGTCGACGTGTACCACATCGGTGACTGGAAAGGACTGGGCACACGTCACGGTGTGCAACACTGGAGCGATAGCGCGAAACAGGCTCGCATCTCTCAGCCACAATACCGAAAATACTTTTTCTACCTCTCGGGGGGAGACGAGCGCGTCGGAGAGTTGCTGGAAGAATTGCTTGACACCGATAAGACTTACGGTGAGCTTGATCCTCAGAGGAAAGTTCGTACAGACGGCTGGAAACCTAGTCCAAACTCGACAGTTTCGTTTGGTCTCGGAACCGATTGGTCGGGTCTTGCTGCAGGGTGGTTGATGGAATGGGAACGACGAGGTTCAAGATGGGAAGAGGCCAAGACGAAGTTGACCAACACGATCTCAGGAATCGCAAATCTGACTAACGGATTTGTGACCGGCTCAGGGCTGTACGACCCTGTGAGCTGGACATTGGGCCCTCCCCCTTCTGACCCGGGTAACCAGGGGAACGTGTCTATTTCACATCTGAACGCTGTCTTCGGTCTTCCCGAGGTTGTTTCTGAAGCCATCGCCTATCTGGCGGATGATATACCCAAAGGATTCAAGCAAGCCTGGTTGGACTACTGCTACTACTACCATGCCTCAGCGTCGGAGCAGAAGGACCGATATGGAGTGAGCTTCAGCAAGATAAGTCTTCTTCAGGCGCATTCAAGGCTGGCAGCGTACGCGGCATATGAGACTAAGAACAAAACGCTTGCGTTGCGGGCCTGGAAGGACTTTTATGCCAGCGATGGACTATTGCCGGATGCCCCCTGGAACATCACGCATGTGAATGGAAGCGGTGTTTTGATGCCCGTCGATGAGGCTGCTTGGTTTGCGACCAACGATATCGCCCAGTACGGTCTGGCCGTCATTCAGAATTTGGCCTATATTTCGGATTCGCTTGATGACTATCAATCATGAGTTTTGATGGTATATACATATGAGAAGTTTCGAGCCTGTATATAGTACCTTTCATAGTTTCATCAAATATACAAGTATCATCTTGACGCTAGAATCCACAGTAATTGGAGTTGGAACTTTTCTGTCGTTTGATGCTAGCTTGGCCATATAGTAGTCAATATCATAGATTGAATTGGTGGTTCACCTCGGATAAGGCCGGTGGGTTTTAGTAGGTATAAATGAAATGAACTTATAGTGCCCTGCGGATCCGGCACATTGAATGTCGTACTATATATATCACTAATTTGGGTCCCACTATGACATTTTCCATATGTAAGCCAGTTTTATGAAAGTTTTTTTGAGGAGAGGTTAGAGCACATATTTAAGAAAGGAACTTTAGAAAAAGGAATAGAAAGCGCGTAAAAATGACGGTGACTAATTGTTGAATTACTTTGAACTGAAGTGTTACAAACTAGAGGGGAAACACTACTTTAATATAGCGATTTGCTTGCGGGAACGCTCGAGCAAAAATCGTCATCGTATAGTCCAATTATATAGGCGCTGTCTAG